CCCCCCCCCCCCTACGAACGTGAGACTGTTTCTTGCTTATGTTTCTTTGTTTATACTTTTCCCGTTGCTGTCCAATAAATCATGCACAGTTATTAACGTTGATTTAAGGATGTACCTTCCTTCTCAGCTTAGAGTCAGCGGATCGAACGAGAGAGTAAGAGGCTTCTGCCTTGCTCAATTGTCATCCGAAGAGCACGCAGCATCTCTGATTATTGACTGACCACCTTGGATCTGATCCTCATGTGTAGCTAGCATTCGTACCACATGTCCTGTGACCCCTTGGGGTTCGTTACTATTGGTCCCTAAATACGTGTAATGAGTTTGTCGAATGACACATTTTGTAGCTAAACTTTTTTTTCACTTGTGTAAGTTGACACGTTCTCATCTGCTAAAACCTTTTCGTGTGTCATCCGACGCACTCCGGCCTGTCATTTGCTGTCATATGTGCCAAGTGACGCACTTAAGTGTGTTAAGACTAATGACATTATTTCGTGTCACTCAGGCGATATTCAGACACGCTATTTTTGTGTCATCTGACACACTGAAAGTTTTCAAGTGTAGCACCCACCCAAATCACCTCTGATTCCCCAACACGTGTTGAATAGATATTGGATTTCCAAAAGGGTTCCATATATTTTCACGGTTACATTTCTCAACTCGTCAACTTTATTCTGGCTCTCTCCGGGTACAAGTACACGCAGTTGTTAGTTCACTCCATTGAGGAAAGGGTAAACCGCGAGGTTTACGGGTTATGTCCCATTATATGAAATTATTTTTTTGCGACGACCGGCAGCTTTGCTAGACCATAACATGCAATTTTCATCATGATTTGTGGTACAGGTATAACGTATCGTGAAGAATGGAAATAGAATGTAGAGATTGTCACAGCCAATAGTGGAATAAAATCATCAACTTTCTTAGATGTAGCGGATTGACGGTTTTCCTAAAATCCACGAAGTGAATGAGATTTTCTTTCATATGGTTGATGAAATGCAAAACTAAATGAAGTAATTATGTGCAGCTTTTGCGAAAACCTATATTCTCCAACACATATCTAGTTTGAAGTACCCACTTCGCATGGTTCAACTCGATGCGATTAATGCGGCCTTTTTTTGGAATTACTTTTCGTAGTAAAATCGAACCAAGTATGTAAAGGAGAAGCAGCTGGACATGAAAATGGACCGAGGAATGGAGATTCAGTCCAACCCCAAGTGCTTCCTTTTGACTCGGGCATATGGGCCAATTTCGGGATCAGTGACAAAATCATACAGGACTTTGACCCAGGAGTTATGTTGAGGCAAATCGTCATAAAACTCTGGTGCAATCCGCTTCACCTGTTGTGTCGAGAGGATTGCCGTCCACAATATAAGACTCAAATTCACAGACGAAAATAAGATTAAAAGGGAACTCACTTCTGGAAGCCTTGAACCAGCAACATAAGGGAAATCATGATGCTCATTGTGATATCCCACATTAAAAGTTATCCAGTTTAGGGGTCCGTAATAGCTGTATGTCTCATATCCTTTCTTGAACATGTAATGCTCGGACACAAAATGGCCAGCAACAGGATGGACACCCATAGCCAACAGACTCCCACCAATCAAATATGCCAGTACTCTCCATCCTGCGGAAGGATAAAGTTTTGGGGGAATTTAATGGTCTCGGCCTTGCAACAAGGAGCTGCAGTGTGAACGTAGTGACTCCATCATCATACTTACCGAAGAATTGAACAACTATTGCATTAAATGATAACTGGGCGATGATGCAGATGATTTCCAAAGGAGTTAAGACTTTTGGATAAACCATAACAGGACGAAAGGCATAGAATAAAGGCTGAAGAAAGAGCCAGAGTAGCTTGGTCCCCGTACGATTGAAGAGTATGGCCTCCAACTTCGTTGGTATGTCAGTATCCAGCTTTTCGTCTCCTTGAAACTTGAATTAATTTTTAGCTTTGAGTAAGATGTGGAATAAGAAAAACTATAACCCGCTGTCATTTTCATGGTGGTTACTTACTTTATGATGTTCTATGTGATACTTCTTGAAGGCAGGAGAGAATGGCAGACCGATCGGCAGATTTGCAAAGATTCCAAATAACCGGTTAGCAGTCGGATATCCATGTCCAAAGACAAGATTGTGGGATATCTCATGGATGGCTGGAAAACATCACAGAAACGCAAAAATTCGCCTTGTTGCAGGATCATTTTTTAAATAGTGCATATTAATGTAATTCAGAGTTTACGCGCTCCCCTAATAAATATATATAGACATGAGTTAGTGAGTGATAGGGTGAGTGAGTGACTGACTAATTCTATTTCAGTTATGATGAAAAGCTGAAATTCACAAGCACTTTTGGGAGTGCTGTGTTCGGTATAAATCCAACTTTTGATATGCATCTCCTGAAGTCCTTATCTTCTCATGAATTAAGGGTTGGGGCAGTTTTCCGATTTTTTTTTTTACTATGATGGTCGTAAAAAAATGACGCATTATGCAGTCAGTATGTGCACCTTAAACAGGGAATCCCATGACGTATCAACGAAAACTTCCCGAAATCGGTTTAAATTAGCGTAGGAAGTTATAAATTTGCGTAGGTGCTTTCAGAAAAGATAAATAATTTGATGCTTCCAAGCCCAAGGTCTTTCAATGACCTCTCATGATCGGAGGTCATGTGTTGTAATAAAAAGAATTTCCTAAAACATGCCGCCATGTTTAACCATCTTTGAAAGCAGCGAATGCAGAAATGCGCAAGTTAACGATGCCTCAATAACCATCTGATGCATTTAAATTGCCAAACGCCGAAGGTGTGGGTATTGCGGGTTCGTTTTCCCGAACGACTAACAAACTCGTTAGTACAGTAATTACGTCTACGTGCTATGAGGGAGATATCGACCACACACTTATTCCATCTCGTTAGATGTAGACTTGCCCTGTCCTCTAGACAGAGTGACTTACGGGTTAATGTGAATCGGCCAATGGTAACTTATCCAATGGAGTTCAAATGAAATATCATACCTAGCATCAATGAATGGTTGATGGTTCCTCCGACTACATATGCAGCAAGGAAGAGCCCCAGATTGCTGAATTCCTTCACGACGAAGAGGGAAAGAATTTGGAAGAGCACCATTCCAGTTATAATCCATTTTGAATTTGGATCAGGTCCCATTAAATGCTTAATTTCTGGATGCTTGCCTGAAATAGGATTTTCTTCAAATTAAAATAGTATCTAATTAATACTTGGGGGATCAAGAATATTCACCACATGATAATGTATAACATCGTAAGCTACTAATGTTGAACTATGTATACTTCTGAAAAACATGTAACCCTACTTGCATCGTGTTACCTATGTGGAATATACCGGGATTAATATTATATAAAATGGCTGAAGACTTGCTATGTGCCGAATGGGGAATTTTTGAAATATTCCTGATGTCCTCTGGCCAGTGACCAGTGGAATGATAGATCGTTGCCTGGGCTGGTACTCTAGTGCAGGGGTGTCAAACTCAAATCGGTCGGCGGGCCACATTCCTTACCCTACAGATGCCTGTGTGCCATAATTTTTCCCCGAAATTTGTACTAACTGTCAATGCAAGCGGAAATTTCAAGAAGAAGAAAATGGCGGGCAGGATGAACCACCTCCGCAGGCCGGATGTTTGACACTCCTGCTCTAGTGTGTCTTTGTCAGTTACATACTTCGTGTAGTGCCTTGCTACATTTCTCTATGGAAGAATATTTGAAAAGGCAACAGGCGGAATCAGCGGACCTGGAGTAAAATATATTCATCAGAGAAAGGAGAATGAGGATGTTGCTTTCTTGCGACGACATTCTCTAGCAGTCTTTGAGAAGTACCTATAAATTGAGCTTACCCACAGATGCTTTTTCATACGATGATTAGGAAATAGGATACGGATTGTAACGGTTCAGGGACCGGGTCACAGCTAGGAATCGTAAGATCTTTCGCCTATTTTCATGAGAACGATGCTCACATGCTTCCGGGCTCACAAATGATCGAATCTGGACTGGACGATAGCAATAATGACGTAATTCTCATTTTCAACCAAAAAATTTCACCGACTTTTCGCAGTTAGATGAGGCTTATGGGAGGAGCATTTTCAAAAACCTGAAAGAGAAATGTCTTCGGAAATGTTTCTCTGCCCGTGGAACCCAGCTCATCTGGGTCTTCTGGAAGTCATCTGGGAGTTTCTTCAAGTATTTATTTAGACTGAAGGAATGCGTTAACGCTACATTCATGGAGTATTCAAGTTACAGCCCCAAGAGACGCACGAACCATTTGTCATCTCCATTCGAATCGTTGGAAATTGCCGACGGAAATGAACATCGGCTGAAGAAATGTATCGAATTTAATAGTCTGTCCAAGGGAATTGCTTTCATTTGGACTTTAACTCGTGGAGAGAGAGCCAGAAAGACCTGAAAGAATTAGACCTTTTTCCAGTAAATAAAAAATGAAGAAAATTCCCATGACCAGAACTTTCTGGTCTAGCATCGAAGAACAGTATCGGTAGCACCGAGCAGTCAGGGCAAGTCATGCAAATTTTCATCCCATCTTATTAGTACGAGGCTATATCTTCTACTTTAGCTGCAACGAAGATGAAATATTGATGTGGTCTGGATGAAATGTCTGGAAGCTGAAAATGAGCGCTATGCCTCTCTGTCCACTGTCAAGCTCAGATTTGAAATGCTACACCCAGAAACAGCCTCATTGTTTCATTTTATTTCGTAACAAATAATTCAATTGCTGGTCCTAACCCGATGCTCTTTCATTCAGTGAGAGAGATAGGCTCGTGTCCAGGTTCTACTCTCAGGGGAGTGCCACCCAAAGCCGGGGTTAAGCCCACAGGAAAAGTTTGAGAACTGCTGAAGAAAACCACAGCTTCATTCAAATTCTAGGTTCTATAAATTGTAAACAACCCTTGGATTGTTTACAATTCATGGAATTCCCAAGTGTTTGGACTCTCAAGTCCAAAAACCCGATTGAACCCAATGAATATCCTGATTCACCGGAACTCGAGTTTTTCCTTCCTCTCCTTTTTCTTCCCACCTCTGAGGCAGTTTATGAAGTAGTACGAGATCGAACGATCCCTTTCTGTGGCCTTACAGAATCGATGGAGTACACGTAAATGAAGCATACCTACTTCTACTCCTGGGTGGTGAATTATCGTAAGAGGATGGATAGGGAGAAGCTAATTATCTTTTTATCTAAGACGTTCAAAGAGGACAATGAGTTGCCAATTGGATAATTGCCGGAGTTGCCAAATGAGCCATCATGGATCTAATTAAAAGCATCCCACGCAGTGACTTGACAAAAAATGCTTATTTGTTCGTGGACGTCTAGCGTCGTCATTTCATTGTGCATTCATGGGTTGTGTACGCAGTGTGTGAATAATATCAACCTACAGTATGGATAAAAAATATTGCAACACGAGCGGACTAGGTTCATGGTGTGCTGTCCCTAAACTGTTTCCCGTCATCATTTAAACAACTTAAGGACACTTCAACTATATAGTTAGTAAGATGTAGCCGGTGCAACTCGAGCGAATGCACCGCATAGTGTCCGTACGAAGCAGATTTTTATTGGGATCACCATCAAACTATAGATACGTGAAAGTCCATGAGCTGCCTTTGGAGGTCCGGGCAAAAGCCATTGGCATGATTGAGGCTGGAAAGTCATAGAGGGAGGTTGCTGGCATTCTTGTAGTGCACTCGGCAAGTGTCAGTCACTGGGAGAAACACCGTTCGTCCAGAGAAAGCCTCCGATCAAGGGCTCGTCCAGGACATCCAAAAGGCTTTTCATCCTCAGCAAAAGTCTGAGGAAAAAGAGGCATGTCCAGCTGGAAACTGACCTCCAGATGGAAGAATCTGGGCCAAAAAGAGTCTTTCATAACAGTCCAATGCTATCATGACAGGAAAATTTGCATGCACATGAATATTCATGACATGGGAAAGCAGCATCTTCCGTAGTTTGATGATCTCACCCTCCTACATTCCTAGGAAGAACAGGTAGGGATGTATTCCAGAGAGGGAAACTGCCAAGTTCCACGACCCGATCCTCTGGATCAAGAGGTTGCTTTCCCCATCGCCACGAGCGATGTTATATCATAAAACCATGGAATAGGCTTACTCACTAGGGAACCCCACTCAATCCATGTAATGTGCAAGAACTGCCTGGAGCCTCCTTGGGCTAGGTTACGTCTCTCAACAAATGAATCACTTCCTTCCTTCGGGTTGTATGCGGAAAATTATCGACTAGAGGATGAAAGTTTCTACAGAACCTTTCATTCGCATTAAGGAAATCAGGAGACATAAAGTAGCGGGTTCAATGCCACCTCGCTTATATTGTGGGAACTTAATATTAATTGAACGAACTGCTTGATGTCAGGCCAGATGGAAGGCCTCAATGGGGACATCCAATGGGGACATCCAATGGGGACATCCAATGGGGACATCCAATGGGGACATCCAATGGGGACATCCAATGGTAGACCGTGAAAAGTTGTCCTTGGAAGTTCCTATTATAGGAATCTTAAGCAGAGCCTCATTGAAAAAGGACGAACCGAGAGACCCCGAATTCTGAAGGTTAGAGGCCTGGGCGGGCTGCGGGCCGGAATGATCGGCCCCATCACGACCCGCGGTTGGGGTTCGCAAAGCTCGGTCTGGCAATCGAGTTTTGGGTTGGGTAGGACCACGATTCGAATCAGGCCGATCGGGTCGGGTTCGAAAAAGTTCACCCGTGCAGGCCTCCAGCAGACAGATAGACGAAGGACGCCGGCTATTACTATATACTGTACATGGAAATAATTGAGTGTTCGACGTTCTGTTCGAATAAAGCTTAGAATGGATGAGAAAATCTCGATCCGTGGCGATGACGCCCTTAAGTACATCCAAAGGATGACTGCTTCTGGACTTATATTCCTCTCTTAACAAATGGACGAGTTTTAGATCACCCATGGCTTCTTGGGTAATGAAGACTGAAAGCATATGGTGCTTGAACTAGGCTATGAACGTGCCTTCGGCGCTTTGCGCTAAAAAAAAAATGCTTAATACGTTTTAAACATCCTTTTCGATTCTCATACCTACTAAAGTGGTAAAGCTCCTTGGGTCATAAGTATTTTTTGTGGGTTTGCATGGATACTCCAAGCAATCCAAGCAATTTCCAATGGAGCACCCCTGGGACAAATTCTCCGACAATCCCCGAGATTCGACTCGAGTCCTCGAGATGCATTCAGAGTTCATCCATGGGTCATGCGCAGATTCTATCAGGGATTTACTTAGGACTTCCCATGGATGCGCTGATGCTCATGGGTCCATTAAGCTATGAGGCTACACGAAGAGAATTCTTACTGCTTTGTGTTGGATATTTCAAGGATGCATCCAAAGACCATAAGTAGGAGAAGACATCGGTGTGTTTATATAATAGATCTGAATACTTCCATGGGACGTGCAATTTTCCTGCTAAGGACGTACCAAGGACTTCCCAAGGATGCGCTGATACCGATGAGGTAGCTAAGGCGATTTCCAAGGAGTCACACGAAGTGCGCACGATTGCGACATCGTCAGGATTTTTAATGGGCGCATCCCCGGAAAGACCAATTAAAGCAAACCATAGGACATCCGAATATGCTTCGCTGTGGGAAGCAAGATGACACGGAACGGAACGGGATCATCCCATGCTGCAGGAATAGTTCAAATTTTCCCATTTTCCAGGATTTAGAGCATTTCCACCAAAAACAACTTTCGTTTCTTTTGTTTATACAGCCACAGATATGGTTCTTTAAAACATACAGGGTGCGGCAAAAGTAAGTATACAGTTTGCTATTTTTTCCCTATGACTTAGTATTAATTTTTATATATATTTCATGTATTACTTGTTGTTTCTTAATGTTCCAGTATGTCTGTAACGGCCATTTTCATTGCTCAGAAGTCAGCTTCCTTGCCATTAACTGGAAATATAAGAATAAAATACAATTACTACTGTATACCTACTTTTGCCACTCCCTGTATATTTAGAGCAATACCATACGTACTTAGCAACTTCATTTCGCTTCATTGTTTAGAAATTCTGAACTTCTAAAAATTTTTATGAACTGCCAATCTCCGGCTGGAGTTGAAGAAGTGGGACGAAGTGTTGAGCCTTTTCATGCCTGAATTATCCCAGTCGGCACGGCCACGTTGTGTCCCCGTTGAGAAAAGGCTGAAACGTTGAGAATCCGACGAAGAATCGACATCGATGAAATGCTGGCTAACAACCGCTGGTGGTGGCTGGTAATTAACAGAGTTTGCAGCATATTGTGACTACCCACATATTAGCAAAGTATTTTAGTGACTATTAAGCGCAAATTCGTTTTTCACCCTCGGCAGTACACTCGTGAATCACAAACTTCTTCGAGTGCTTGCATTCATAATTTTCCTAATTCCAACTTTGTTTTTCCACTTATATGATATATACTGTATATCTGGGGAAAGGTGTCTTCATGTCATTTTCAGCTAGGGAACGCTTATTTCCTCGTTTTAATTGCCTCAGTAATTTTCATTTCAATTTACCATAAAACAGGAAAAATACGAGTACATTCGTGCAGCGTAATTTTTTTTTTACACCCTGTGCCTTAATGACAATATTACCTTACCTTGTCCTTACCGCATACTGTAAGAAATATCATACAAACCATCACGTTGACAGTATGTTGACGGTTAGAGCCACTTCGGCAAAAGCCATAACGACATGTCCATCAAATTACAGCAAAAATGTGTTTACGCATGCATGTATTGCTTCATTTTTATTTCTAATATTTTGTCATGTCTCTTACTACTCCGGTTTCTAATTCCACAAACTTCAATATATACAAGCTTCCTCGAACGAATCAAACATTTAAATGGGACATTTTCGATCGATCCTTCCGGTCACATCACAGACACCAAACAAATACGATGGAAACAGTCCAGCAACAACAAAAAAAACACTTGAACTCACCAAGGATTTCCTTTCTCCGCGAAGCATGAGGTTCGGCGGTGTACGACCATTCGAAGTCCGTTCGGGAGACGCGAGCGCCCATTTCGACGAACCGAATGCGTTCCTGCAGGAAAATCTTTAAGATGTTGACAACAGATTGCAGGCGTATGTGTTAATCTTGGTATACGTAACACATAGCAATTTATATGAAAAATACGAGATAGAAATTCGTCTTATGCGTATATGGCTAGGGAAAATTTTACTTGAAGTTTGGATTCTTCAATCAGCCGTTCTGGTTCATCCATTACTTTTGGTTCTCGTATTATGTCGTTCCGTCATAAATATCACTTTCCTACTCCGATACATGGACACATCGTTTTCGCGAATTTAAACTACTCACCGGAAGAAGGAAGAGAAGCTCTGGCCCGAGATGGGGCCCAGGGCGCTCGGACCCCCCCCCCCCCCCCCCCCCCAATAAAAAAAAAATAATCGGCGGAAGGGGGACAGAGCCCGGGGGGGGGCCCCGGGCGCTCGGCCCCCCCCCCCCCCCCCCCCCCCCAATAAAAAAAAAATAATCGGCGGAAGGGGCTCACAGTGAGGACAGCGAGGACATAAGAATAAAGAAAACTTGCATGTGTACCGTCTCTGAACCCCCCCCATATTTCTGAACGAATCACTGCCTGTGCCAACCATTCTCTCGCCTTTGCGTTTCCTCGTCCAAAAACCAAAATCGAGTTTCTTTCCGATATCGATCGCGGGGGAAAACGAAAACATAAACAAGAATTTATGACGTTTAAAGGATAAAGAGGAGTCGCTGCAAAGACATGTTTGCCGTTGTATCTTTCATCTCATGAAATCCAGAGAATATCAAAGAGCGGTTTTTGCTTCGCTGGAATATAAAGAAAGAATCATTCAGTTGCCACGTGCCCTCTGCTTTCATGTAGCTTTGCCCCCCGTCCCCCCTTCCCCTGTCCCCCGTCCCCCGTCCACCGTCCCCTGTCCCCTGTCCCCTGTCCCCTGTCCCATGTCCCATGTTTTCTCCCTTCTATTAGAACTTCTCGGGTTTCTCCGACAAGGTTTAAAAACGGTGGATTCCCTTCTTGGAGACGGAATAACCTCCTTGCATCTTTCTTTAATCGCAAAATACGAATGACCGTCTGAAAGAAGAGTTGTGTCCCTTCCCACCGAACGTTGATTTTCACAGGCATCCCGTAAGTACAAGCCGTTTCTGCACTCGAAACGTTGACTGCCGCACAGATAATGCAGCAAGAAAACACGAACCCACGACTCAAATTTGAACTGATCTCGGGACCAGATCAAATTCTTTCCATTAAGGGTAAACATCTCGTGATCCACAGAATTGGACTGCGAAGCAATCCCATGCACACACTCTGGAATCCTAAGAAAGTATTATTATCGTATGAGTAAAAAATAAGTAAAATTCGAATACAACCTTAATAGAGCCTTGTGGCTCCCGCGGGACATTATTTTGTTCGCGGCCCTGCATGGGTTCTGTCCATGTCAGGGTTGGGCCCGCGTAGCCCTCCATTGTATTTTTGGGGGTGTGATCCACAACCTTAATAGAGCCTTGTGGCTCCCGCGGGACATTATTTTGTTCGCGGCCCTGCATGGGTTCTGCCCATGTCAGGGTTGGGCCCTGACATGAGCTCCGGCCATGCCTATGTAGTCCGTCTTGCGGGTCCGTCTCTGATTGTCATTCTCGTCTAACGCCGTGCCTGCTGTCTCTCCACTGCCGTCTGGCGCCGGGCTTGCTCTTCCCGTAGTGAGACTTTTCTGCAGACTGTTCCTTCAAGTCCTCAACTACCATCTGTGATATTTCTTTCCTTTCTTAATTTTACTTGGAGCAAATGCCTGTTGTCCTTGTTTGAACACCGCTTTATTTGTCATCAGTCGTCTCCTAGACGGCTTGTCCCGTCTGTGGCCGGACCTTTTCCTTTTGCCTCCGATTAACCTCTCCTGCTAAATTATCTTTTTCTTGTTTTCGGCCTGAAGTTAGCGTTAAAAGTCCCATTTTGAAGCTCCTCCACGCGACATTATCATGCAAGGGAGACTCCGAGCGTGTTTCAATGGGATCTATTTCTTACATATTCACCCTCATCATTACCACCAAATATAATTAATACTTCCTCATATGCCTGAGCATCCCTTGTGAAATGCATGCTGTAAGGTCCAGAAATGAAATGTAATCCAAGCGACTCATATTTTTGGGAGGAACCAAGTGGCACTTTCTAACTTATGAACCCATTGCCTATAAATGCAAGAGCCGAGAAATGTTACTGTTTTCAGGAAAACTAACTTTGTTTTACTATTTCCTCGTATGAATCACTTGGCTGCTAGTCTTATCCAAAAGGTGGGACGGGGGGGGGACGGGGGGGGGACGGGGGGGGGACGGAAGTGGAAAGCCCTTACACCCAATGGGCAATGGACGGGATCAGGCTTTACTTTACGTTTTTCATTGGAATTGAAATTTTTAGCATGAGCTCATTTAGGAGAAAATATTTTTGCTGAAATAGTAAAATTTTGGTTTCTTTGGGTATTAAACTTTTGGGAATTTAAATGCCAAAAAGCAATTAGCTTGCACAATTCACCCCGAGTTTATACTAAGCTTTGAACTTTCTGTTCCATGAAATCTTGTTCAGTTAGAAAAATATTTATGAAAGTTATGCGTGAACTATGAACATGTTTTATACCTTCAGTAAAATAGTAGAAATAATTCATATTCTAATATTTATAGATGGATGAAGGGTATGCTGGTTAGACTGACTCACCTCTCTGCTAATTTAAAATCCCAGTAAAGGACCTTATGTTCACAGGAATAAAGAATGATGCCACACGTAACCAAGAAACGTGCCGATGTGAGCGCCTCAGAAACCGACACTGAGGTGGACGGATCAGCTACGAGATCAAGAGGAGGATATGGGGGAAACTATTGACATTCAAGATGCGTGCAAAGCCCGCCCTTTCCTGTAACGTGTAAATATGACGTCGTCGGATTCGAGAACGAATGTCTTCAATCATATAATTGCTATTTCATTAGTGCCAATTTGCATCGCATGCAATGGAAATTCTGCGCGAATAACTAAATTTAATGAATTATTCATTAGAAGGATAACACTACAAAAAATTATTGTGAAGGTCGAAAGGAAGGAGAGCCAAGGGAAGGAAATTACGTCCAGGGAATTTTCGCCCGAATTTTCTCCTCTCAAAAGGAAATCTTTGGGGGTATTTGGCCAATGGGGAAGTATGGCTCATCACGATGAGCCTTAGCTGACAGAAGAATTAGGAATGGTGAATTTTTTATGTAGTTGGATCGAGGGGTTCAGGGTTGTTATGAAGTCCGGGAGTGGATAAACAACTCGTAATTCCAGAGAGCACAATATGATCAATACCATTAGAATGCATGACTTTCTAATTTTTTTCATGAGTCACACCAGAGCGTCACGCTTGAGCATGTCATCCATCCTGGGCAATGCAGCGTTCGAATCTATTCTGCAAGGATTGGAAAACGTTTTCAATTTCTTGCCGTATGATTCGACGCACCACAGTTTCGATACATGCTTTCAGTTTCGCCCAAATTTTGAAGATGTGTGACACAAACGATGCTTTTGGCTTGACCCCTCAAAAGAAAAGTCTAAGGTGGTTAAATCAGGAAGCCATGCAAGTGCACCTCCTCTCGGAATCCATTTTCCCCAGGAAAATGTTTCATTCATTCAGACAGATCAAAATGGCTGCTACTGAAGAGATGGTATTATGCTGCGGTCAACTGAACTGCCAATATTGTCGGAACGTCGGGGGATTTTTGAATGAAACATTCCCGGGGAAAACTGATGCAACGTGCAATTGCCGAAAAGTTCTTACCAGAGCCGGCCTTAGGCATATGCCACATGTGCCTCCGCATAGGGCGCAAGTTCACCAGGGGCTCCAAAACGTGGTTGAATATGTGAAGCAGTAATGGATGCCATCCTCAGTTTCACTTTAGAAAGTGGAAAGCCTTCCGTTTCGGCGTCATTTTGAACGTTAGTGAATTCCGTAGAGAATGTGAAGGGGGGAGTGAGGTTGGGGTTAAGGTTGAGGTTGGGTTGAGGTTGAAGAAAAGTTAAACCTATGAAAATTGGTTTGCATATTCCTTCGTTTGTATCATATTCTCCGTTCTTGGGGGGGGGGGGGGGGGGGGGGGGGCGTTGGGAGTTCTTTGCAGAAGGCGCCGAAATAGCCAGAGTCGGCCCTGGTAATTACCTGATCAAATGGTCAAAGAAATTAGGAGTAAATCAATGTTTCGAAGGCCATATGCATGCAATCCCTCAACTCAGCACCCTGAAATTAATATGAGCACTGAGCAACTTAAGCGTATATTTCCTAATAGCAGCACGGACACAGAAACCATTTTTTCCCGAGATATTCAATGGTCCATCCAGAATGCTTGTGGAAGGCGTTTGCTCCATCACTTAAAGTTGCTATATTCCCCCAAATTACCATATTCTGAAATTTTCTGTCCGGCGAAAGTTCCCTTTTTTTTGTAGGGAACCTCCAATTATGATACAAACGAAGGAATATGCAAACCAATTTTCATAGGTTTAACCTTTCTTCAACCTCAACCCAACCTCAACCTTAACCCCAACCTCACTCCCCCCTTCACATTCTCTACGGAATTCACTAACGTAAGGCCTAAGCCTAACCGACGGACTGTCTTCGGGTCAGGCATAGGCCTATCTTTTTCCAGTGCGGTCGGGGAACATTAGGCCTATCCAGAGTTTCTCGAATCGTCCTGACTCGTCCTGAGAAGAGAGTGCCTTTTAGCCTGACATACAAGCTGACTGCCATCATGTTAATTTAGGGATGTCCTGATGAGATATCTCCGTATTCCACCAGATCGATCGGCCACCGCAAACCATCCCATCAATCTCAGCTCATCCCATGAATTCAGCACAATAATGTCTCCTACATGAACAAGAGAAGATCCAGACAACGATACTAAGGCAGAAGAAGTCATGAATCTGGCATAACTAAGGTATGATATCCGACAACACTGGCGGACGGGACGGCTAAAGGTCCCGTCCGCCAGTGTTGTCGGATCGCAGAACCTAAATTAGCGGCATTGAAATTTCATTTTTTATGGCGAAAAGGTGCACTGGAAGCAACAAAAATGACACATTTTGTCACCTACAAGTCAAGATATTTCGTTTGGTTGGTCTCTTTCCTCCGAAAGCTTCCCAGGAGCGGCAACCCAGGGGTGGAGAAAAAAATAAAGACAACGGAAAGAAGTTCACATCTAAAAGCGAGATTCAGTGATCTCCCCAATCCCGGGGATATTGAGCTTCAAATTTGGTGGAGCGAAAAAGAGGTGGAAAAAAAAGAGCTGTTGAGTTGCAACCATCCCACTCTCTTTGCTTGACAATAACTCTGATCGCTAGTGTGACGATGGCAATCTTCACACGGTCAACCTTTTAGGCACAAAAGTGCAAACGAATGTCATCACCGAGGCCATCAGACGTCGAATGCCGAAAGACCTTTCTTAAAACCACCTATGCAAATAAATCAAATTACTGCGAAAATCGTTATGCATTTGCATAGGGGCAAGATATACGTTAAGTTCATCGGTGATGAAGGGCTTGAAAACAGTTATGAAATTTTAAGTTTTGAACTTTTTTTTATAGGGCTTGGCAATTACACTTTCTCTATCTGCACCTCAACTGCTCATTCACAGCGCTCCGCATCGGTCGGGGTGCCAATGCCGACAGCCAGAGCCACCAGTCGACGGATGCATCCTTGTCTCGGACAGCGTCGAATCCCTGCATCATCGCGTCCCGGTTAAGGTCGTGGATGCGATGGTGCCAAAACTTGTCTTTAATGTCGTCCCGCGGAAGAAAATCTGGCGGTGTTCCGTCTGGCGATCGCAGGAGCCATTCGATTCGCCAACGCGTGTGCTACTTTCTCCAGCGTGCGGGCTGTTTTTGGCAATCTGGGTACTCATGTTCAGCATTTTCTTGCTTATTAAAACTTTTTCCAGGGACTCCAAGGAAGAACTGGTTCGTGAAAGACCTGTCACATTCTGGGTCGTTCCCGTGTAACATGGTCGCAGAAAATAATCAGACTTATTAAGTCTTTTCTCAGGAGGCAGCCGTACACTCGCCATGTTGCTATACGAGTGGTCTATGCGTTGCTGATGCATTTGGTTACCTAACACATCTTGTCTCGTGTAAATACCTGCAATTCTCATGGAGTTACAGTGCTTTAAAGTGGGAGTCATTCGTTTTGGCTCACCTTGTATAATAATAATTGAAAACAAGTGATAATCTAGCCACAATCATAGTACCGGTAAAAGAATCCCGTAATGCCCGTACCCGTACCCGTGCATGTTGTCTGACAACCATCTTCAAGATGATTGACTGTGAAGTGATTATGTTTCGCCATGATGAGGTTAAAGTGACGTTGATGCCCTTTTCCCATCGGCAAGGTCACTTTATGCTGAGTTTCGTAGGATAATTTATATGAGCGTGCATTTTTTCTTTCCGGGACAAATACTCATGGTAAACAAGATTAAATGAATTGTATTACATGAAATTATAGTGTGACTGGAAGAAGTTATCTATTATTTATGTTATTATATAAGTATTTATCTAAGAGAATTGGCCTCCTCCTCTTTCATCTAGGGGTAGGTCGAAGGCTACGTCTTGATCCAAAAAGTTCACCCTGGAGTACTTTTCCGGGGTACTGTAGTGTCTGGGATGGCATCGAGAGGGACGACTGCCTCCTGGATCCAGTGGTAGCACACCTGCCCGGCGATCAGGAGGCACGGGTTCGATTCCCGGCCGCCCCCGGTCTTTTTTTTCGTCCTCTTTTGCCATCCAACTCTCCCCTCCCGGCCACCTGAATTACAGTACCCGGGATGATCCCATTGCTCGATCACTACAGTAGGTAGTAAGTAATAGTCCTTCGATCATGTTTTCACCGAAAATATGTTTCAAAACGATCAAAACATTTTACCAATAAGTTTTTTAACTCCAAAATAATTTAGAAAGTATTCAAAGGGTTTTTAAGAAAAATTACAGTTAGAAAAAAGGTAAAGGGGTCCCAGCACATTTTGCAACACACAAGATCGGTAACTTATAGGAAATCATGAAGTTAACGAGGTGGAATTCCCGAAAAGAGCGGAAGCCCCCAGTGGAGAACGAGCTCATATCCGGCACCACGCAGACAACCACAAGATGGAAAGGAGCATAGATATCCGCAAGACGGTTGCCGGTCTCCAGGCGGTTCCAAAACAGGAAGTCACCGAAAAACAGTTGCTGAAGGGAGAGAGCGGGGTCGGGAAACGCCAGCAGAGGCGGATCGCATCGACGAACCAGAAGAGAGGAAGAGACGACGTTCACGAGTCCGAGTTACGCGCAGTTCTCTCATTTCTCCAAGAATGAAACATTCAGAGGAATCACCCTGTCATCAGTTAACAGGGGAATCCTCACTGACCACGGACCAGCCCAAGTATGCGTAAGCTTACACCTTGTTTACAGGGAACAGTAACCCAAACTAAATTAAATTACCCTAAGTTAAAATTCCCTTGAGTGAAATTTACATGACTGAAAAAAAAATGACACGAAAAATACGTCTGCTCCCAACGAGAGCAGAGAACCGAATGAAGTGAAGCTTCACTTTTTGCTCGCAGGCTTTCAAGCCTAGAAAGCCCCACGCGATGTTATCGCCTTGCGATGTTTTGTTCGCGATGTTCTTTCCGGGAACCGGATGAAATATGCCAAATTTCGTTGCTGTTGATGCCCTCAGAGAAGAATACGAGTAGGTTGAATTTTGCTGCTGGAAGGAGTTGAAGAAAGGTAATAGGCCTATTGATCCCAGTCTCAAAGGCTGGTACTCTTTACAGAGTACCTTTCTCGTCAATACATAATTATTAGAGAAAGATT